TATATATATATATATATATATATATATATATATATATATATATGAATAAAGAGGAAAACTATTTTAACCGACGTGTTTAGTCTGATGAAGGACTTTATCAAGGCAAATATAAGGATTTATTTTGTTACACGTGTTTATATATAAGAGAAAAGTGTGATTGATTTATTAAAGCTTTTAAATCTGAGAATGGACATGAGTATTCATCGAGCGGTTCATTCAAAACATGTGGAACACAAAGTACCATATATATATATATATATATATATATATATGTGTGTGTGTGTGTGTGTGTGTGTGTGTGTGTGTTTGTGTGTGTGTGTGTGTTTGTGTGTGTATGTGTGTGTGTGCTCAGAATCCTTGTATCTTTAATGGTAGATGTAATGTATATTTGGAGGAGAAAATTAGAATTATTAAATTTAACAATCAAAACACTTTGCTAAATAAAAGGAATGAATTGATTTCTAAATGTCATCATAGAAGTAAATTCCAACTGATATAATATATTTTCACCCTTGCACTTTTAAACTTCATTTATCTTCTATATGTGATTACTCCTTTTATTTAACTCTCTTCCTATTGGTTTATTTATATATGATACTTTGGTTTATTTTAAGTATATATAATTGTCTTTTTTCCTTTATTTTTCCATTGCTTTATTGCTAGCTGTATCTCGTCATTGATCCGTCTGGTTCATGCTTGTGTAGAACATATATATTTCTTATGAGTTGCTGTGTTGCAGTACAACAATGGCCTTTTGGACATATATTTATATGAACATTTTGGTTCAGGAAACCCCCCCCCCCACAGTGTTTGTAAAAATATTTTTAGATTGTATCTTGGATTGTACATTTAACATCGTCTAACGTAAACTTAATAACTCAAAAACGAAGGATTTGCGGATATATATATATATATGAACTTTTGCCTTTGTTTTGGTGTGAAGAACCCACCCCAAAGTTTTTAAGACTGTGCAGAGGATTCGGAAAGAGTTGGATGAGTCTAATGGCGATTACTAAGGTACGACAGCTCGGAAAACTGAGTCAGGTCGTTCTGATAAGAAAAAAAAAACCGAATTTCTTGGACACAGACTCAAAACTGAGGCCAACATCAAATATCTTCAGGAGGTAGTGTAGCCCTGAGCCAACAGTGTGGCTGCTGGAAAACCCAGTATCTGGAAACAGGATTCTGCACCATGCCACACAATCAGGAGAACCCAACCATGGCTGTCAGACTATTTAGATGTGATCACCTAAATCCCCCTAGCCTGCAAACCCTTGATTATTATGTGTGGGGTGCAGTGGAACGAGAGACCAACAAAAATCCTTTTAACACCAAAATTGACCTGAAGGCAGCATCCATCTACTTAAACAAAGATAAGATAAGAAGTAAAAATAAAAAATAAAAATAAATAATGACAAGCAAAATAATTTAACCCAAATAAATAAATAAACAAATAAACGACTTCCGGTAAAAATAACCGCCATAATAGACTACCCACAATGCACCACTGACCCTATATATAAATAACCGAGAAAAATAACAGCACTCGTGGCCTGACGATTGCGTCTAGCATGAAACAGACTGTCGCCTCTATGTGTTGACTTCTATGTTCACTTTTATATTTACACACGCTCTATCTCTGATATTGAGCACTTTATCCCATAAATATAGCACACCATAATACTATATTTCTTCATATATATATATATATATATATATGTGTGTGTGTGTGTGTGTGTGTGTGTGTGTGTGTGTGTGTGTGTGTGTGTGTGTGTGTGTGTGTGTGTGTGTGTGTGTGCAAAGGGAGAGATTTTGTGTGTGGGTGTGTTTACGGACGAAGCATAAACATTGACATATATTCTGTTTCTCACTGACAACAAAACGTACGTATCTTTTTCCGAATGGGCGGTGATATTTGGATTCTCTCGGCTAAGAGTATAATCTACTGGCCGGGTCAAATCACTATTGTTGCCAGTAACCATAAAACTGCGTTAATGACGTCGCCACATGCAATCAGGCATACAGAGATGAGAAGACCACGTCATAAGCACTACCACTCACAAAGGTATATATCTACATACAATAGACGTTCAAAGGCATATATATGTATGCACGCACACGTCCAAAAATAGACGAGGGTAGCGCCCTCGTTCAATCACGTAGCAAATATAACATATTTTGAATTTAAATTTTTGAATTTTACATACTTTATTTTTCATAATTCTTTTATGTCAGGTCACACTGAGTGGTACTGGTACCCTGCAACGCAGTACTACCTGCCACATTGTCGGGTCATCGGCGATTAACCAGGCTTTTCGGGTAATTTTGGGTGGCAAGACACCAACCAAAATGAAAAACAAGACCCGAACCTTCTTGTAGTCAACGTCCATTTAACACAATCGGGTAGTCTAGGCTCCATAGCTGTGTATGCAGCCCGTGTATTGATGACACGACATTGCCGGGCCGAAGGCTTTCTAGACTGAAGGCAAGGGCTTCGGTAGAGGTTTCCACAGACGGAATCCAAGGCTAGTCTTCAAAATGGCGGATATCGGCTGTGGTTTTACATAGATAGAGATGGGCTCCGCCAGGTCTACTTTGCACAAGATATACTACGCATGAATGAATACTTCGGTTTTCAACCCAGATATGAGGAGGGAACTGGTCCGGTACTCAGTGACCCTACGACCACACCCGATCATGGGACTGATGATGATGATGATGATGATGCGTACTTTGATAAAGGTTTTCCTTGTGCATTATAAACGGAAGTGCCAAAAACTTAAAGACACTACCCTAGATGGTCGCTTACCCCACTTGTAGAAAATGACTAAGCCTGATGACGCATCCGTGGTGTAACAGCTAAAGTGGTGGCATAGCTGTGCCAACGTGGATATGATACACCTTTCCTTCACCACGGAATAATTGCAGGGGTCATAAAGTTAGGCGATATATGACTCTTTCACAATGAAAGGGTCGTTGAAGCCGTAATTGTAGGTGATACACCAATCTTTCATCGAGGAAGTGTTGTTATGGTTAGATATATGGGATTCGCTATATCTGAGGTTGCAATATTTTTTTTAGTAACAGTAGCAAGTGCATACCAGGAATGTGTGAATTTTGGACCGATCACAATGGAAAACTGTGTACCCACAAATGATACAAGAGAAACAATTCACAATGTGTTAATCACCCATCAAAGGGCGGCATTGCAGCCGATCACATCAATGCTGGTACAGCTTATTTAATGAACTTCATATGCTGTCTTCAATAAAGTTTTGTTAACAAAGGTTACACAATTGTGACTCTAGCACCGGTTACTGTACTCCATCTGGGCCAGAAAATATACCCGTTAAACCACGGAAGACTGGCAAACAAGTCACGTTTCAAGTTCTTTCAGCTCGACATCTGACTTCAGGAGGCTGTTTAATAATGTGTTAAGATTCACAATTCACACGGAACTACAAAACCTATGATAAATATGCTTACAAATAATCAGATTTTGATTTCAATACAAAACATCTGCGCCGTTTTTAACTTCTCAGATTAAGTAATTTTTTTTCCGAAACTGAAACTCAATCCTAAACAGGAAACAAAGGATAAACCTCTGTTGATTGTCAGAGGCTAGGAATTATTATATAACAAAAATGAAATCAGTCATCACTAGAAGAATTGGTTCAAAAATATTTGTCTTGCAAAGGTATGGATTCAAAGATTATTTTCAGGCACTGCATTGCCTAGTCAGATAAGTTACGTTTACAGTTCAATAGATGACTTCATGTATGGAAGAAGCTGCTTGTGGTGTCCATGGATAATATGTTAAGATTCCACAATTTATAAGGAACTACAAAACCAATGACAAATATGCTTACATGATAATCAGATTTTGATTTCAGTACGAAGTTGTTTTTAAATTCTCAGATTAAGTAGGGTTGTTTTTTGGTTTTTTGTTTGTTTTGTTTTTTGGGGGTTTTTTTTCATACATTAAGCTAAATTGCTGAGAACAGTACACTGGGTGGTTTTGTCCTTTCCCACTTCCAGGAATAATAAAAAAAAATTCTCCCAAGGTACTGTTTCAAAGATTTTCTGCCACAAAAATATTTATGCATCATTCTCTTCTTTCTTTGACAATAGGGAGATGGATGGGTGTAACCAAAAAGTTATATTTTTCTGGTATGCTCCAGGGATATTTTATCATAATCACTTCAGTTGATAGGTTTAAAACCAGGTGTCTTTGAAGTTATATTTTCAGGGAATTGTTAAGAATTCACAATTCATAAAGAACTACAAAACCAATGACAACTGTGATAACAAGATAATAATATCCGCGGTTTTTAAAGGTTCTTGATTGACATTAGATTCGATTCAAACCTCTGGTATTTCCTGGAGTTAATCGTACACTACACTAGAGATGTTTGTGCCCACGGAGTATTGACGCCATTTTGAAATACATCAAACTACCTCTGCCTTGTAAGTTTTTTTTTCATTTACATATCTTGAAAAAAAACAGGTCGTCTATTTTTTCTTTCTTGTCTGTACAAAAATAAACGGAAATGAGTGGAGAGCGATAGAAAAAAAACAGAGAGAGAGCAATAAAAGAGTAAGATAGATAAGTAATAAAAATAAAGATTAATAGATAAAATAGAGATAAATATGAAAAAAATTACTTATAGTTAGCTCAAAAAGCAACAGAAGGATGCTGAGAATACCATAGACTGAACATGTAAGCAACGACAAGGTTTTAGAGAAAATGGGGAAAAGGACACTTATATTTAACATCAGGAAGAGAAAGATGAAATTTCCATGACACGTAATGAGAAAAGAGGGCCTGAAAATTTTGATACTCACAGGGAATATCAACGGCAAGAGGGGGAGAAAAAATAAAACATAACCTACCGAGCAAGCGTGTGTATATGGATGTCGGAACAGATTTTAGGAGAGATAACAAAAAGACAAAATTTATTAAGGGCTACAAAGGATAGGTAATTGGATAGCCTTGGTAATCACATGAAATAAATACAATAAAATGAAAAAAATGATAGATAGATAGATAGATAGATAGATAGATAGATAGATAGATAGATTGATTGATTGATTGATTGATTGATTAGTGAAAGCCTGGTGCAGAACTATATTAGTCACGTTTCCAGTTCTGTCGACCAGACGGTCGGGTTCGTGTGCGAAGGAGACCTAGTAAGTATTGTTTTTTCTTATATAAATGACTTATTTATAGTGTAATGATTTTCAGTAGGAAATTCCTACTATGAATTTCTATGTTCATTTAATATTAATGTCCTTTTGAAATCTAATTCTTCCTACGCTATTTCACATTTAGATATCTTGAGACCAAAAAATGCACGTCTTGTCGGTGGTATGCCAAAATGGTTGATGGATGAACCACACTTGGGTAAACTACTAACGCCCATGCAGTAGTAACATTAAAAGAAGAAAAAAAATTGCTGTTACACCTATTTTCAATGTTAACAGGGACAGTGAAATACGCCTAACATATAAGGTATGTGTGCGAATGGACGTACACCTGTGTTGAGATCTATTTCTTCTCTTTCGCGACTACATCTCTTTTGTTCTTTTGTGCGCGTTCAAAAAGGAAAGGAAAGGGGTGGAGAGTGACAAAGGAATGAAAAAGAGAATCAGAGAAAGCAAGAAGGAATTAAAATTGATATGAACAGAGATAAATATGAATAAATCAATAGGGTGAAAGAAAGAAAGAAAGAAAGAAAGAAAGAAAGAAAGAAGTGTAAGAGAGTGAAATAAAGTTAGAAAGAGAAAGAGAGATAGATAGATAGAGAGCGAAGAAAATAGACATTTGGATAGATAGATAGATAGATAGATAGATAGATAGATAAATAAAGTTAGATAGATAGATAGCTAGTCTGATAGATAGATAGATAGATAGATAGTAATAGATAGTGAATAGAAGATAAAGTTAGAAAGTGAAAAAGAGAGATAGTGGCCAGGATGGAGAAAACATTTGAGAAGCTAGATAGATAGCTGAGATTAGATAGATAGATAGATAGATAGAAAGATAGATAGATAGATAGATAGATAGATAGATAGATAGACTGAGATAGATAGATAGATGAAGATAGATGAGATAGATAGATAGATAGATAGATAGATAGATAGATAGATAGATAGATAGATAGATAGATAGATAGATGTGAATAGACTGAGATAGATAGATAGATAGATAGATAGATAGATAGATAGATGTTTAAGTGTAATAGAGAGTGAAAGAAATTAAGAAAGAGAGCAGCCAGGGTGGAGAAAATATTTGAATTGCCCATTTTACCTGCCGGCAACACCTGTTCTTATAAGCACATGCATACTAATGCAATTACAGGTGCATTCGCTTCTCTGCATACTAGAAACAAAACTCCGTGAGAACGTAGATGAGTACTCTCAATATGTTCCCTACCCTTTTAGATCACCCTGACCCCGGCCAAGAATGAGCTCATCCAAGCTTAGAGGCCCCTCTGACAACAATAGAAAAGTACACACGCGAGCATTCAGAAACTCGGCCATATCCTCACACGCATGCGCACACATGCACATGCATGCGCGCGCACACACAGACAAGCGCGCGTCAAAGCCACCATACGGTGACATTATTTTCTAACGCAAAAAAATCATACATTTCGCTATATAATCTTTCGCAAACATGCAAACTTTTATACAACCATGTCCCCACTTACAAGAAACATACCAAAGCCGACATATATATTTAAACATTATTATTAACACCTACATTCACGACACTTTTAGGATTAAAAATACGTGGTGAGTGGGGGAAATGAAATAAAACCAATGAATAAAATAATAATAGAAAATTAAGAAGAAATCCATTTTCGCAAGTCATAAAGAAAACCGGAAATAGTTTTTTGGTCACATCCGTGATTTCATGATCCCACTTTCGGTAAGAAAAACATGTTTCTTTCCTTTTTTTTTCCACTTTCCAACGACACTGTTAGGACTTGTTTTGGCAGCTCTACTCATGAAGTAAGTGAATTGATCGTTCCAACTCAGCGCAAAGTTAACTTGAGCTCGACCATTTTAAATATTGATACATCTGAATCAACGAAGAAAACGGGCATACTCAAGAGACTTTGAGAAATTTGTTACACTGAAGTTACCATAAAAGAAATAAACGACTGTAGCAGAAACTCAAGTTTTTGTATGCTTCTTACATACTGGGCACGTACATTCACCTAAAATACACACAAGCTTTCAACCTTTTAACATTCCATAGGTGACCTTACTGAAACGTTTTATATTTTAATCGGAGACAATTATGGACAAAGCATTTTTTAGAATATAAAAAAGAATACAACATCTAATCTTACACACCAATAAAGACGCGAACATTTTATGGAAACAGTATTATTCTATTGAAATAAACTGCCCGAATATATGAAAAGTGCAGTAAATATATATAGTTTTTTAAAAAATCTTGGGAGTTTTTACAAGGGTGGCTCCAAAAATTTAGGGTGGAATAATAGAGGGACCTGTTTCGAAAAAATATGAAACAATAATTGAATATTATTTTTAAGATATTAAGGATTTCTTTAAGGAAATTTTAAGTTTTTAGAAGGGTAAGTTGGGAAATAAACTTTCTTCCATTTTTTCTATCAGTTCGCCCCTAGCAAGGCCACTAAGATGTAATGGGGTTACTGGGAGAGTAAAAGAATGAAAATACTTTAGAAGGAACCAGAAACCCTATCCTAAAAAGGGAACAAGGGATAAACCTATACTCCTATTCAAAAGATCGAGAAAGAGTGTGAACCGGACAAGAAGTGAGCATTTCTACTCCTATTGAGGAGAAAAAATAAAATAAATAATTACTAAATAAAATTTAAGAATTCAGACGGAGATGTTAGAAGTATAGACTTGTAGTATACATTAGAAGGAACCGGAAACACAATCCTAAACAGGTAACAAGGTTTAAACATCTACTCCTTTCAATAAACCGGGTAGAGGTGTAAAGCAGGCGATAGGCGAACCAATCTACTCCAATTTATCGTGTACTTGATGTTTTGGGGGGTTTTTTGGGTTTTTTTCAAAATTTTTCGGTATTTGAAATTTAAATATTTTTTTAGATGTAAAATAATTTGTGTAAATAGATGGCGGAACATAAGTTGGGTAGTAAAAAGACAAACATAGCTAAGATACAAAGTACAGGAAGCTGTGAAGAATCATTATCTCCCACCATTTAAATGGACATTACACGAAGAAGAAGAAGACCAAAACATGCCCGCTCCAATAATAACTTCAGCTAATAGTAAATAATCAAACCCTTTGTGGTAACCTGCTAATAAAAATGCTTTAACGCCAACACACAAATCCTCTTCCCTATACACTCATATCTAGGTATTACGGACCCCCTTTATTGGATATCGGAAGCAACGGACAAAATCTGGAGCAGCCGACTGTAAGTTTCGCACGCTACGGACAGAGTTGTGGTAACTCTGGATAGAAGCTACTACTTCGCGTGCTTGACGAGTTACTTGTTTACATCAGGTTTTCCCGTTTTTCATATCCCAATGTGTTTAAATGGTTTTATATTCATCATTTTCTATAACCATGTCGTTTGGAGGAAGAGTAGAAATGCGGAAACGGGTGAAACTAATAGTAACACAAAAGCTTCTGTTGATTAGAATTAGTGTCGCTAACTAAAGACTATCTTCATTATCGGACATATATTTACCGTTTTCATCCGTTGAAACAAAGCATGAGTCTATTAACTCTCACAATAACAACATAATATTATTACTATAAATATAGTATGATCTTTATACTTGAGACAATAGATATACTTGGTACTTGAGACAATAGATATTCCGACTGAAAAATATCTTTGAAACAAACAATATATTTTAATTACTAGTCATATAGTATTACTTTGGTTCCAGTCGCTTCGCTGACAGGAAAATGATCAAATCTAAATCTTTTATTCATTTAAATATACTACATGTATTAGAAAATATATTCAGTTTAAATACAGAAATTATGAAAATGACTTCAAAGGGATTATCCTTATTTTTTTGTCTGTTAACCAGTCAGAAAGAGAAATTAACCATCGCGATATAGGTGGCCATTTCAAGTTCATTCTAATGTGTATGTACGTTTGCATGTGTGTTGTATATTTTAATTCAATGAAAGGATTAAAAAATATTTCTACAAAGTTTTAAAACAAATTAGAAACAATTTAATTTATTACCGAATAATTTTTGAAAAATTTAATAAAATCTTATAATTATATAATATTTTTTAGTGTTTTAAAAAAATTATTAATTTTTTTTTCTTTATTCCAACTTTATGATTTTATTGCTCAGCCTATGGTAGGGTTTGTCCAGACTGTGGGGCAGAGGAATGAATTTTATCTCATGTCTTATTTCAGAAGAGACCTACGCATATGCATTAAATACATGCATGCAAAGTCACACGGGGGCAACGTGCGACGAACAGAAATTCTTAACTTTTAAAAAATAGACTAGTTTTATTTGGCAGAAGATAATAAGGTTATACTAACAGTTTCTTTTCTCTCATTTCAGGCTTGTGAAACTCTCTTCCCCATCCTGATTATGACGATAAATTACATCTGCGTCCTGGGTAAGAGAATAAACTACATCCGTGTCCTGGGTAAGAGAATAAACTACATCCGTGTCCTGGGTAAGAGAATAAACTGCATCTGCGTCCTGGGTATGACTATAAACTACATCCGCGTCCTGGTTAAGACGATAAACTCCGTCCAACAGCAAGGCCTCTGATCACGAGCTTTGGGGAAGCATGGAACCACCTCTTAATTGCTGGTGTTCCCAGGTTCACCCTGTAGTAGCACCTGTTAGGGTCCAAACTGGAGTCAAAATACTAAGAAAGTGTAAAAATAGGTTTTAATACCAGAAATATTTTGTAAAAAAATTACCAGAAATACATTTTTAAAAAAATGTTACAAGCAATACATTTCTGAGAAAAAAATATGACCAGCAATACATTTTTAAAAAATAATTTACCAGCAATACATTTTTGAAGAAAAAATATAACTAGAAATAGAGTTTTGAAGAAAAAAATATTACCAGCAATAAAAATTTTGTCGGCGTTAAATAAACCATTGAGGTTGATATGCCATAAAACAAACCAAACTAAACTCTCTTCTAGCATATTGCTTTCTGGTCAATTTTGATCTTGAAAAATTTACATGGAATGTCAATCCTTGTCCTCTGTTGTTTTGTTTTGTTTTTTGTTTTGTTTTGTTTTTCATTTCTGTTCTTTTATCGTTCTCACTCTTTAATAATGTTTCTCTCTTTCTTATATTCTTTCACACTCAGTACCCCCACACTTGCGTCTTAGTTGCTTTGTTGCCTTACTTGAGTTGAAATGATTTTTTTTTAAATTAGATGTGAAAAGAAACAAATTTCAAAAAATTAGATAAGTCCCATTATTTAGTTGTGTGGTTGTTTTTGTTTAGCGGCATATCAACACTTCTATGGGTTATTTAATGCCAAAATCTAAATATTTTTGTTAGAATTTTTGGTTAGTTTTTTTACTAGTGAGCTAGCCAAAATGAGCTGACTCATTTTATACTTCACCAATAGAAGGATTAACCAATCAGAATGCTCAAAATATTCAATCCGACGTGTATAAAGGCAGCCATTTTGTTTTTTCTCCCAAAATATCTTCACTGCCAACCTGATATCGAAGACTTAAAGAATTAACAGCCGCTACTTTCTCCGAATCTTCACTGCCAACCTCTGATATTGAAGACATTACGGACTTCACTGGATTCCAAATTCAGAGACTACGGCAAACATGGTCAACAATTTTAAGCAAACTTTTTTGAGTTGGAGATAATAATGGTTTTAGTGATAAAAGTCTTAAAATTAACCCATAGCTGGGGTAGAAGACGTGGATTTATACCTTTCGAAAGGGTATTTGCGCGTAAGTGAATATAACGAACCCAGCTGAAATTGGAACTCGGCTCTCCGATTAACAATTCCGAGCCATTATTCATTACACCACCCGCACATCGAAGTTTACAGTACCAGGAACGGAACAGGCTCAACGTTGCTTAACTTCGGTGATCGTACGGGAACCGATGTTTCAACGTGATATGGCCGTAAGCTCCACTCTTTAGGTTCACCAGTTCAGGAATTTACAGATAGGACTTGCAAGTCTTCGTCCAGAAAGTCTAATCACCCTCATCCGTATTCCAAAAGTAAAAAGAAAGTTCCACTTAAGTCAAGGCTTAACCGTTATCTATTCTTTTTAACTTCATAATCTTTAATTCATA